TGTGGAGTCTGCCTGCCCAGCACCTGCCCACATGAGATCAGCCTCCTTCAGCCCACCTGCTGTGACACCTGCCCCCCACCCTGCTGTGAGCCTGAGGTCTACGTGCCAACTTGCTGGCTACTCAACTCTTCCCAACCAACTCCAGGCATATCTGGCATCAACCTGACAACCCACATTCAGCCTGGCTGTCAAAGTCCCTGTGAGCCCTGCTGTTAACCAGTGACATCTTTGCAGAGGTTCAGTGATGTGGCTGCGCAACATGCTACATGTCATCTGACCTCCAACCTTCGCTACTGCCTCAGTCAAAGCTAAAGCAATCCCAACTGCTGGGACCTTACTTTCATGGATTTGCTCCACTTCTCAATTCTTTGCTCCTTTGGGTAAAGTTGGAGATATTCTCTCTGTCTTTTAAGCTATTTCACTGTTCTTTGAGAAATAATTATTTTGACTGTTAGTTAATAAACTTCACTCTGGCTTAGCAAATACAGACTTATGGTTATTTATTTCCATGCTTCCTTTTAAGTAAAGTAGGATGCCTACCTAAATCTGAACAGTCACTGATTATCACACTATCTAAGATTTATCTCAACAGAATGAGAACTCTCATGCTGGAATTTCTGAAAAATCAGACACTGCTCTTTGTGATATGTTGAAATATGAAAAATTAAGTGTTCTGGTTACCTAGTGCCACTCTGACAGGAATATAATACAAATTGGATGGCTTGAACAAACAGGAGTTTATCCTCTTACAGTTTGGAGGCTAGAAGTTCAAGTTCAAAGTACTAGGTTCTAGGGACTGTGTGAAAGCCCCTCAACCTGGGCCTTCAGCTCTGCCTCCTGCTCCCAGCCCAGTGAAGCTAGAAGCATCTCTTCACTCAGGCAGCTACTGGCTCCTAAGGCTAAGGAGCCCAAAATCAACAAATAAAATGGCACAGTTACAATGTTACCAAACCACATGGCCGGCCATCAATTCAAGTCCACTGAAAGTCCCAAGGTCAGACTTCCGGTAAGATGGAGGAATAGGCAGACAAGCGACACAGACCCTCTTCAACAAAGAAAAGAAAAACCAATTGACAGAGATACAGAAGATAATCCTGGAACCCTGAGCTTTGAAAGGAACAATACAGAAGTGGATTAGGCACCAACTAGTGGAAAAACCTGAACGAAAACAGTGAGTACAG